ATGATTACGAGCTCGCCCTGTAACCAGAAGGTCTTTGGTTCGAACCCCTGTGGTGGGTGCGGACTGCTGAAGAATCTCAAACACTAGGACGAAACAGCTGTCCAGTACTCCTGGGGTTTCCAGAGGTTCTCTAACTGATATCAGTTAATGATGAAATCCTCCTTGCAATAATAATAATAATAATAATAATAATTATTATTATGGTGACAATAATATCTTCATTCAGGACATTTTTAAAACTCTGTGGAATTCTCAGCTTACAGTACAATATCGCATCTAATTTCCTCTTCGCATTACAAAGAGGAAGACAATCAGGTAGCCAGAAAGCATTACAGACAAGGCCCTCTGGCAACAAAACAGCCAACGACCTATTTCACAATATATATGGGAACGGATTGGACATACCCTTGAGGAGACCGTCGAGTGACATCATGCGCCATGCTGACGAGTGGAAAGCCACCAGATAGATGACAGTTTGAATGCGACAAGGGGGATTATGTGAGGGAGGATGAAAATTACAAGGAGGACAAGCAGAAATAATTCAAGGTGAAAATAGTAATAATAATAATAATCGTAGTAATAAGGGAAAGGTACATAGAATAGCTAAATAAACAAAATAAATAAATAAATAAATAAATGTCTATCTGTCTACGGCCAAGGCAGAAGTAAGGATTGTACATACCTTTTTTGTACACAAAGGTGAAGCTGGCTTAAATTCATGAATGGCCACCGCCTCCACTGTCTTTAGAAGTCTGTAACGAAGAAAATGTGGCAAGGTAGCATGGACTCGGTAGACGATCTTAAAATCATGGTTACGGTTGGTAGAATGACAGAGGTTGATCAAGTGTTTTAGAATACAGCTTCGCCCACTCTTCCTTTCCCCCTTGAAAAACCATGCTGGAATATGTTCTTGTATCCATGTGGAAAGCGTTCTCTGGCTATGGTCAATGTAACTTGCTCCACAACAGCAGATGAACTGATAGATGCACATGGAGGGGGCTAGATGGGGTAGCTTATCCTTTACAGAGATAAAGAACAACTTGCAGCTGGTAAACGTTATTTGCGATTTCGCTTCAAGTGACGCCTTACTGACTGCTTTAGAGAGATTGCTTTTGAGCATATCAGAAGCCTGATCATCTTTGGATTCCAAGTTAATTAATACGGTTTTCTTTGGAACTAATTCCTTGACCAGTTAAGACTGCTTATCTTTCATGTCACTGTCAATAAATCGGTTCGGGTAACTGTTTTCTTCCAGCGTGGCTTTTATTAGAGGAAAGTTCTGAGTCAACACAATCAGAGCTACAAATGTTCCTTATTCTAAAGTAGACCGAATGAATTAGGTTCCTTTTCCTGGAGATAGGTACCGAACTATAAAAATTAGTTAGTCGTCCGTCGCATGTACGTTTCCGGTGCATGGATCTTACGAGAGACTGTAAAGAAGGGTGGCGGTTGTTGAAAGCAAACAAGACATCATCAAGAATTACGTTATTATCTCAGATAACGAAAGTGTCGTCTAGGTATATTTTATAAATGTCAAAGTGACCGATGGTTTGACTTAGTTGAGAATTTTCAAGCTTTGCCGTAAAACAATCAGCCAGCAAGGTACCCACTGGTGATCCCATCGCACTGCCATCTCTCTGTCTAAAAACCTCATTATTGAAGGTGAATTGAACATTCGACATGCATCTCAATGAAAGTTCTTTGCGGTAGACTGTCGTCAACTCTACTTCTAAACTATATGTATCAATATAATCACATATATAACAGACAGTTTCCATGAGATGTACATTGGTAAATAGCGAAGTCACATCTACTGAGAACAAGACTTTGTCTGAGACATTAAAATCTCTAATACTCTCAATAAATTTAAACAAATCATCAATGGAAAACTTACACGCTTGCCGTCTAAGTGGTTCCATTGAGGAATTCCTTGATGAGGATAATTTGATTGGACACTAGATAGCAAGTAGTGCAGTGTATCTGATCCTTTGTTTTAGTGCAGAGTGAATTCCACTAGTCAAGTTTGCAATGTGTCTAATAATTTGTTTATTATTTTTCAGCTACTTAGCTTTGCGTAAGTAGGTTGTAGTCGTGGTTAGAGTTTTCACGTTTGAAACAGTGAGTGATAGGTTCCAGTTCTCTTTGGGAATGACATATCTGATTGTATTGGGGGCAGTTATATCCAACTGATTTGCCCTGAACAGGATGAAATGCGCACTCTGGATTCCACTGCTAATCATCAACAACACAAAACTCTACGTTATAGTCATTGGAAAAATTATATTTCCATAAAATTTACGTATATTTATTTAACTTCAACATTGTGAAAACAGAGGTGATGACGATATCTAACCTACAACAACAACAAGTACCAGTCAACATCAGTGGGAGAAATCTAAAGAAAGTTATTCACCTCAGTTTCTTGAACAGGCAGAGCTGTTTCAAATATGGTGGCGCACTTGAGGATGTCAGAATCAGACAATGTCTGAAAACCAACATCTACTAATCTGAAAGTCGTATGGAAATTTACTGCATTCAGAATAAGGAACGATTTTCGAATTTTCAACACTATTAACAAGTCAGTGCCTCTGTATTTGGTCAGGGACCTGCTGTGTCACCAAGTGCTCTTCCAATAGGCTACAAACTATCGTTAACACCTACGACCCTCCCTCAAAGTTGAATATCAGTTGGTCGGCCAACAGGAATGAACAAATGGCAGAAGAATTATTCTACGAAGTCGCCAGAGACCAACTGCCTATTCGAAAAATATTCTGAAGGTGATAGAGGTGGATTGGACACATTATGAGAAAATCACAGATGAATTTCTCATTCCCGATAATCCTTCCAATTGAAGTCGAATGGGAAACGACGTGTTTAGCGTCAGATGGTGACATGGAGGAGATCTTATGAGGCGGAAATTGAAGCTTATGGATTATCATGAACGTGACAAGAAAAGACTTCAAAGAATGGAACAAATTGATTTCACAGTGATGAAGGTCTCCCTCTGGCTTTTCGATCTTGTCTGACTATGACATCGTCACCCATGATTTCGTCTGTACTGAAACAATTTTACGTAGATAAGTGAAGACAGTAGCCTCTTTCAAATTTCTCCCGTTTATATTAATTGATGATTGTTGTTGGTGACGGTTAGGAATCTTCATCACCTGAATCTTCTCTGTGTTTACTTGAAGTCTCATCGTAATGACAAGGGCCAGTCAACAGGTCGTTTATTGAGGAAATCAACAGATATATCTATATATTTATATGTACATTATTATTCGTTATTAATAGCAGAGAAACAGCGTCTTCTGAATGGTTGTTTTCTCACTGAAATTTATTCTGTCATCTCTTAGTGGCCGTTTCTTTGAAGGTCAGGTCATATATCTGAGAATTGTATCCGCACACGCTAAGTCTGTTGTTATTGATTGTTGATTTTGTCTTCGTTATTGTTCTTTTCTCATGACCAAGATATTGGACATAAACTTTGACGTAAATTGCTATCTACCGATTTCGACTAGCAGACACCTCTCACAACTCTGTCTTCGCTTCTTCTTCTTCTTCTGCTTGCAAATTTTTGATTTTCTCCTGAAAGTATTCGGGTCTGTGTGACACTAGACATAAATCATCCACGAAATCCAATGGTCTTTTCAGCACATTTATTGGACAATAGGATTTTGGTCGGTTCGCTGTATGCATAATTTGCGGGAGAAGATGGGCACGCTTCATCCTATGTTACTGGTGGTTGACACTAGCTCGACGCTGGTTTCGACAGGTCTCCGACCTTATTAATTCTCCCCTATTTAGCTGCAAGAATGCATTGATCAATCATTCATTGTATCCTACACCAGTGGTTTATCCATATGTTATACTAAATATATGAATTTCGCAATCAGTTTGGCATGATTAGAGAAAGTTGGCAATGAAAATCACCAAGTACCATTCACTTGTTCACTTTTAAATAGCCAGTCATCCCGAAGCAGTTTCTCAGAAATGGATTATTGAAAGTAGTATGGCTTACAAGCGACATCCTTGACAATTTGTTTAGTTTTGTTTCTGAACTACTTTATTTCACTTAAGTCGGCAATGTTCATTTTATTTTTTTTAATTTTTGATCATAGCTTGAAACCACACAGTATTTTTGGTACAGGTATGGAATTTTCAGCATATGATATCGGTAGCCCAAATTTCGCAGGCCAACCATTGTTATCAGGTGTGCACTGGCAGGGAATCGAACCCTGGACCTAACTGCTGTGCTACCGACGTAAGAGTAGAATCCTGGCTCTGTGGTACAATATTATTCCATTGTGAGCAGACCATCATCACTCCAAAACCAGATTGGAAATCTTCTTTACTCAGCGCGAGGAACGAAATTCGGAATTTTGACATCAGTTTCAGGTGAGTCAGTGACGTGGTGCACGCTTCATCTAAAGCATTTCCAAGAGGCTTGCGTAAACTTTTATCAAAAAGTGCCCCCTTCTTTCAATCCATACTGAGGAACATATGGCTCGTCAGAAAGAATTAGCACCAAGACGCTCTCTCTGGTAATGCATCAATCAAGAACCTAATGCTCAAGATGTATGCCTAAGAAAATGGAGATGGCCTGAGAAGACTGTTGTGCGACATCGTGCGCCAGGCCATCGCTCGAGTGTAATTCGAGAGCCGAAAGCAATGAGGACGTGCAGCTGAAGTCCTAAGTTCCTCTAGGAACTAAAGGAAATGATTATAATAATAATCGTCGTTATTTTGAATGGCTTTTAGTCTCTCTTTTGTCGCCTTTAGTGTTCTTCATGAAGTATGTCAACACAAACTGATGTATTTCTGCGCAAGATTCTACGTGGAAACTGGTCAGTCACAGTATTCAATGTCCAATTCCCTGTAGTCAATTTAACACAGAACAAACTAGTTCGTATGATAGAAATTCTTTTTCTTTATTTAATATGTATTAACTCAAAAAAGCAAAATAAGATGATACTTTAGAATAAAATAAATAAAGAGTAAATTTATAATCGCGCTATACCACCAACAATTACCTCTTCAATTGAACATTCATTTTTACCACGTAGTATTCTAAAATAGCCTTTCTCACCCCAATCTTCATTCCATACATGTGAGCATAACCAATAACGTGTATGATTTTCTTCACCCCAACCGATGATTCTCACCGGTGCTGCGCCTAAATATTCTCCAGTCATGTGTTTGTAGATTCCTGACTTGTAATTGAAAAAGTCAAGGTATACACTGAAGGCAGCTTCTACTGGTCCATTGACAAAAATCTCTTTCATGATGTCTGTTTCATTTCGACTAACCAAGTAATACTTGTCTCCTTGAAACACAAAGAAAAGAAAATAATAGAAAAATAAGAGTAGTAATATGACAGTAAACCGTGAATTCCATTATGGGTAAATTTTGTTTTGGTGTTTACTGATGACCACGTTTCAAGCACAATTTATTCCTGCTCATAATCATATCACGGTACTCCTCACACGACTTCTTAACTTCATTTATATAGTTCCATTATTTTTCACTTGATTTGATTGGTAGTAGTATTTTCCATATTTCGACAATGAGTGATGAATCATTTCTATTGCATGTATTGGGTTTAGACTCGATTTCAAATTGCACCGACATGATCGGTGTAGTTTCAGAAAGAAACGCGATGGCGGTGTAGCCATCTTCATCAATTCACAATGGTGTACGTCTAATAATGTATGTTTCAAATTCTCTAGTGACGATATTGACTGTCTCACCGTTAAGTGTCGATCTAAACATTTGTCAAAATACTACTACATTTACATCTCGAGCACTTATATTGCTCCTGGATGCAATTCCACAGAATTATCTTTATTTGAGGATGAATTTACCTCCCTTGCTGCCACCTCCTTCGGAAATTCCTTGTCTATAGTTACTGGAGATTTTAATTCTAGTGATCACAGCTTCCTAATTTCACTTGGACACGATAACATTGTCAACTTCCCGACTAGAATGGATAACACTCTTCATCTTGTATTCACAAATGACGCAGGAATATTTGAAGCTCGAGAAAGATCCCCACTACTAAATTCAGATCACTGTATCATAAGAATATTGTCCATGGTATATGGAAAGCAGCACAAAAGAGGCTTCTCACACCTTGGAAAGAAAACACAACACAGATGTTATTCCCATGACAACCTACTGAATCTAAGCTCCATGTTAAAAGACACAAACTGGGATTTATTTACTGAACAAGCTCTTCATAACACAATTACCAACATAACACATTGTCTTAATTTCTGTCTTGATGTTTGTTGTCCAAAAGAGACAATCTTTTTAAAATTCGATCGCTTCTCCTCTTCTCAACTCAAAAAGCTCCGCCGTGAAAAAGAAAGGTTGTTCAAAATGAAAAACAAGTCTGGTGTTAAGAGAATGAACACTTTGATTAAAGCTGAATTACAAAGATTGAATGCTCTCTATAACCAGAAGTTTCTTTCATGTAAATCCCCATCTAATATGTGGAAGTTATTAAAGGAAATCACAGGTGGTAAGCAAATGATGAATGATATTTCAATAGACGTTTACATAGTTAATAAGTCCTTCAAATGTATCCCAGCAAATATTATGATTCCTAACTCAAATAGTGTAAATCATGACTGCTTCTCATGCTTTAACACGAATGATGTCCTCAAGTGTCTTCAATCTCTCAAACTTACTCATTCATTCCCTTGGTCCTGATGGTGTTCCTGCTGTTATCCTTAAGAAGTGTGCCGACATCTTGTGTTCCCCGTTAACTGACATTTTCAACGAATCGTTTTCCAAAAGTATTATGCCTGAATCATGGAAAAATATCAAGATCGTTCCAGTGCCTAAATCAACAAGTGGACCTAATGTTAAGTTTAGACCCATTGAAATTACCTCACCTTTTTTGAAAGTTATGGAAAGACTTATTTTACTTAATCTTGAACCCCATTTAAAGCCTTTCAATGACCCCAACCAGTTGGCTTATAAACACAGTAGGTGTACGTTAGATGCCGATGTTCTCCTACATCATAGTATAGTCTCTAGTTTAGATAAAGGAGCTAAATACGTTCACTGTGCCTTCCTTGACTACACATCTGCATTTGACTCTGTTCCCAGGTCTCTCTTGCTAAGTAAGCTTGCTGCAACAGAAGCTGAGAGGTGGACAAATAAGTGGTTGCATTCCTATTTTTCTGATAGGAAGCAGTACACCGTCTACAATGGAAAGTCCTCCACTACCTCACTTACTTTAGCTGGTGTTCCTCAAGGTGCTGTTCTTTCTCCCTTTCTGTTTTCGTTTTTCTAACATGACTTGCCTCATTCTGATGTAGCCACTTTTGTTAAGTATGCCGATGACCTCTCGGTTTCTATGTCTGTCAACTCTCAGTCAGATTGTTCCAAATTAAATAACTTGCTGTCGGAAATTAGTCAGTGGTCCTCTTCAAACGGTCTTAAGCTGAATCCGTCCAAATGTCAGGTAGTCAATTTCACTTTCAGACGTAAACGTGACCTACAGCAACTAGTTAGCTCACATGGCCTCACTATCATTGACGCCATAGAGGTTGAAAATACATCTAATGTCACGTATCTTGGGCTGAGTTTTTCCACCGATCTTTCCTGGTCCTCCCACATCTTGCTAGTTACTAGAAAGATGTTTCGCTTAACGTTCTACATTAGGAAATTTAGGCAGTCTGGCATAAAGCAGTCTTTGCTTTCTCAGTTTGTCAATGATTGTATTCTACCCATCCCCCTTTACTGCTCCCCATTAATCTTTCCTGGACTACTTAAGAAAGACTTTGCTTTGCTGAGAAGGGCAGGCACTAAAAGCCGTCAGTCAGTAGGGCAAGTGGGATATCGTTAAACCAACTGGTTAACACTATTGTGGATAGACATATAATGTCATGTAAGAAACTAGCGAATACAATATTGTCAGACCCTGAGAATCCTGTCTATACACAGCTTTCTCCTTGCATTTCATCTGGTATAACTAGAAGCAGCTATAGGAGGCTATTTGCTAGGACTACCAAGTACAAAACTCCACAATACCATATCTGGAACAGCTGTTATATGATGAGAAATCTGTTAGGTATGACACGATAAACTTACTGAGGCACTCTAACAAATAGTCCCATTAGTTTTGTTTCCTTTCCTCGTTCCTGTTACACTGTTGTTATCATCTTCTATTACACACCAATTCTATATTTCATTTCCTGTGGTGCATTGTTTGAAAACGTAAACGCAACGCTGTTCTTTTTATATTTTTTGGGTGTTGCTTTTTGATTTTAAAATCTTATAAAATTTATGAGGTAATTCGATGCAATATATTGTAATGCACGCTGAAAATTCCATACCTGTACCACAAATACTGTTTGGAATAAAGCTGTTAATATAATTATTATTATTATGAACAAGGATTCACTAATTAACCTCTCTCTCCACCTACCTAGATTACTCTTTAGAATTTTAACCCTCTCCCACCAAGCTATTGTGTGGTTTTGTGTTAATGCATGCATTGCAATTGCTGAGCTTTTTTCTAAATTACTCATCTTCTCTAGGTCAATTATTCTTACCTTAGCTAAATTCGTATGTTCCGACAATCTGACTACCCCTGACCTACTAGTCTGACCTATGTAGTTGACCTCACTCACAGTCATTGCAGGGTATTTTGTAAATTATATTATTTTGTCTAATTGGGTCAACCTACAGGGTCCTTTAATCTACAGAGCTTGTCCTACCTGAGTGAGTTTGTAGTTTTAAATGCCACCAAGCTAATTCCTGCTTTATTTAGAATCCTACGTAGGGTCTTAGATGTCCTGAATCTTTGTTCATCGTGTCTACACCAAGCACACGCAATAGAAATGATTTATCACTCATGCCCGAAATATGGAAAATACTACTACCAATCAAATCAAGTGAAAAATAATGGAACTATATAAATGAAGTTAAGAAGTCGTGTGAGTAGTGCCTTGATATGATTATGAGCAGGAATAAATTGTGCTCGAAACGTGGTCATCAGTAAACATTACCGTATAACAAACACACTGTGAGACTTTATCAAAATAAAATTTACCCATATTGGAATTACACTCTACCACAGTACCCAAGTTTTATTCTTATATCAAAGAAAACTGTAAAACCAAAATAAACTTAGGAATAAAAAATAGTATTCAACAAGTAAATATTTCAAGATTTTTAATCATGAATTAATGTCAGTTAAAGAATCATAAGACATCAGGGAGTACTGGATAGCTGTTTCGTCCCAGCCTGGGACTCTTCCTTCATTATCTGCACGCAACTGTTGAGGTTCGAACCCGGGATCTTCCGACTACACGGCAAACTAGTGGTCCACTGAGACATTTGAAACAGATCAGTTTGATGTTCACTAGTGATTGGCTAATGGAGAGAATAAATGACGCACTGGATACAGAACTCCGCCCCATCAGAACAAGCTGGATTCAGGAAAGGCAAATCATGTTCTGGCCAAATTGCAACTCTACGCATCATCATCACAGAACAAAGCATGGAATGGCAATCGAACCTCTACCTCAAATTTATAGACTTTGAGAAGGCCTTCGACAGACAGCGTTGACCGTGAAGTAATTTTCAAAGTACTCGAGTACTACGGCGTACCCCAAATATTCATCAACCTTATTCAACAGCTGTACGACAACGGCACATATCAATTGATCCACAACTGAAAACTCAGCAAGGCTTTTAGAGTCAGACTAGGGTGCTTATTATCACCAATGATATTCCTATTATTGATGGGCTGACTGGATTATGCGTCAGACAGTGGGAAACGAGAAGACAGGGTTATCCTGGACCGACCAACGTGAAGAACCTAGATGACTTGGATTTCGCGCGTGGATGATTTATGTTTGATGTCACACGAAATCGAAAACTTACAAGCGAAACCGACAAACTGGTCGAAGAAGCAGCCGGCGAAGACACGACTCTATGCGAACGTAGACAAGACGGAGGTTATGAAAATAACCAACCAACCAACAAAACAACAGCAGCAACATCCAGCGTCAATCACCATCAACGGGAGGGATTTGAAAGAGGTTACTATATTCACTCACTGATCTAGGGAACATTGTCTCAACTATAGGCAGTCGGAACGGACGAGGATGTCAAATCGAGCGAGAATCGGGAAGGCGAGCGAGAAACACATTCATCAACCTGAAACAACCAATCTGGAAATCTTCGTTACTCAACATCAAGAACAAAATTCGGATCTTCAATAGAAACGTCAAGTTACTTCTTCTATACCGATCAGATCCTTGGCGGGGGTGGTCACAAAGAATATTTTCAACAGCCTGTTGCATGCAGACCTTTATCAACAACTGTCTTCGCTGGCTGTATACTGAAGATCAGATGGCCGGGCCGGGCCGGAAAGAATCACTCGCTGAAAAGACTGCTGGGTGACATGGCGCGAGCGTCAAGTCATTGCTCGAGTGGAACCCGAATGGAAGTGGCGAGTGTGACGTCAGTGCAAGAGTGACATGGAGGAGATCTTGTGAAGTGGAGTTGAAACAGTATGGACTAAAATAGATACAGGTGAGAAGTACAGCAGAATGCAGAAGCAAGTGGAAACGTGCAGTTGAAGCCCTATGTTCCACTAGAAACCCAAGGGAACAATAATAATAGTGATTGGTTAAAGGACAAAGTAGTTTGAAGTTCTGCTGAGAAGTCACGATCAGAGGGGTGTGAAGGCAAATACTCGCCAGCGACGAAATTGGCTGGTTCTAGTCGCATAAAAAACGGCGAATGGTAGAAGCTAGAATTCGTATGACAGTGGTTGAATTTTCCATCAGCTTCCCTTGTTGCCGGAAGGTTTCTGGGTCCTAACACTGATAGGTGTATGCTGTTGAAGACTCCCAAGTTAGGACAAAACAGCTGTCCAGTACTCTCTGCTGGTCTTCAATGGTTTTCTAACAGATACAAATCTGTGGACAAATTTGAAACAAATGAAATTTCTACAAACTAACTGATAAAAATAAATATTTGTGAGAAACAAGGTTTTATTTGAAGGAGGGTTCGAAGAATAATAATCACCAATCATCATTGGAACGCTACATCAGAGCTTGAAGACAGAACCATAAAACAAACAGGTGATGAAAGAAATGTGAATCTGAGGTTAGTTCAGGCAACGATTGTGGCTGGAATTCAACTAGGGGACTCCAAAGTTAACCTCTTTAGAAGCCCAGTCAATCGTTTCGAAGTCACTGGTGCGTTAGTTCATATGTAGGTGTTTATTTTTAAACCTTCCCTATCTCAAAATCGACTATTTAGAGAGAAAAATCGATAAAACCAATTTAAGGTCTAAACTATTCAACTCAAACTTTCACAAAGAAACAAATTTCCGGATATCGAGTAAAGAAACTAGCTGGGTAGCATTCACTGACGGATTCTAAATCATCGAAATTTGACTGTTCTTTTCAACGAATAACGTGGCCTCACATCTATCCTACCTTATGAAATCCATTTCATAGTTAATATGCGTAAAGTGGAAGTATGCAATTCCATACATGAATAGTGTCCTTCAAGTTTTCAATTGCTGCCACCCAACCATCAAATTTACAACTAAAGCAGAAATCGGAGAGATGGTCTTATTTCTGGACATCAGACCAAGAAAGAAGACTGATGGAATCCTAAAGAGATCAATATATCGGAAGTCTACATGGAATGGCCAGCTGACAAATCTCAACAGTTGGGTACGCATCAGTCGCAAGTGGAACCTGTTAAAATCTCCTACAACTTGAATCCATTGGGCTAAGAAAAGGTAACAGTGTATCAATAAAGAGTGCTATAATTTCAAATTATTCTTGTTTATTAGATATATCACATACAGTGCAAAGCAGTGTTATTTACCGGATGACAAAGTTGCGAACTCTATTCACTATATTTATTGTCCTTAATCACATCACCAATTAGAACTACACAATTTCAAAACTCCTGTTTCATACTTTTCTTTATTTCTTACTATTCGTCGAAGGGGTAGCAGAAATTTCCAGATGTTCAGGAGAGTGGACAGGTGTTGAATCATTTCCGTTGCATGTATTTTCATTTGATTCGATGATGAATAAGGCTTCCGTTATCAATCTGTCTTTCCAACTTGTTATGTTAGATTTTCGAACTGTCATCTTATCCCATCCTGTTGTATTGCATGGTTGTATGTAACTGCATGAAGTACTATGTCTGACTGAAATATTATCCAGATTTCTCATCTTATTAGGGTCAAATGAGAGACTCATTTCTGACTAAGAAATTGTACTTAAAACAAAAGTGGCAGTAGATTACATAATGCTAAGACCGCTGCTATTCCTGACTTCTAAGCATTTGAATTCCAGAAGGAAATATATATATTGAGGGAGTTGCCACAGGGTCGCCGATATCCCCGATAGTGACAGATATATTCATGGGTAGGTGGAAGAACTTAGCGATTGAAACCTTCAGTCCCATTCCAAAAGTGTTGTGAGGTATATGGATGACACATTCACTGTACTTAGAACACTAGATATAGATAGATTTTCCGAACACGTCAACTCGAAGTTGGAGCCAATTCAATTCCCTTATGAATTGGAAAGTCAGGGAGAGGAACAGCCAGTCTAGATGTGAGCACAGATTAGAAGGAAGATAGAAAGTTGAACACATCAGTGTTTACAGGAAACCCACACATTCAAAAAGATATTTGGATTTCCGATCATCCCAGCCTATGCCAGTAAAAATAGGATTGGTGAAATGTCTGAGTAATGGGGCACAAAAACCAAGTAGTGCCAAGGAAAATCGAAGACAGGAAATGAGGCATAAAAGAGAAGCTTTGAAAATTATTGATTACCGTGACAGGTTAATCAGGAATCCTTTTTTCGCTAACCATGCTGGATAATGTTCACAGATGCATTTGGAAAGTTTGTGGTTTGTAAGGCCGATATAACCAGCTCCACAGAAGCATGTGAATTTATACACACACACACACTGAAGTTACGTAAAACGGTAGTTGATCCCTTCCACATCCACTAGTCATCTATCGACTGTACAAGCTAGTTTGTAGCTCAACCGAAAAGAAGGCTTCTCTCAGTGATCTGGAAAAGCAACGGTTCTACAGAACCTCAGCTTCAGTAGCACCTTTAAATTCAGAGTTCATAAATAGCAGCTTCTTCGGCATCGTCTAGTTTCTTTTGGGTTTTTCCCTTACTTTCATGTTTTTCTCAATGAATCTTGAAGGATATCCATTTTCCATGGGGACTTGTATAAGTCTCCCCAGTTCACCGGCGATTATATTTTTTATTTTGAAGCTCCTTCTATTATTAATTTTTTCCTTTAATTTTTAGAGTAACATAGGATTTCAGCCGCGCTGCTCCACTGCGTTCGGCTCTCTGCCAACGTTTTCATCCCGCTCCAAGTCTGCCCACGCGCTTTCATCTCCTCTTCACATGACCTCATCCAAGTCACCCTTGCACTGACGACCAACTCGCCACTTCCCTTTCGGGTCTCACTCGAGCGATGGCGTGTTTAATGATGTCACTTGATGGTTTCCTCAGAGTATGACCAGCCAATCTATCTCCGTTTCTTCCTACCTATTTGTTGTACAATCGATTTCTGGTTGGTTCGCTCCCGGAGATCCCTGTTGCTGACCATTTCTAGCCATCTGATTTTGAGTATTGAGCGAAGACAACTGTTATTGAAGTTCTGTAGTTTGTAGAAGGTGCTTTGCATGACGCGCTGGCCAAGTCTCTGATCCGTATAGTAGCACTGGCCAACTTCACATTGGAGTTGAAAATCCGGATCTTAGATTTCATGCTGTGTGCTGTTGACCCACACACAGACTTGAGAGTAATGAAAGCTTGTCTTGCTTTTCCGATTCTCGCTTTGATATCCTCGTCAGTCCCACTAACCTGTAGTTAAAGCGATGCTTCTCAGGTAGGTGGGTAGGTAAAGGAGGTTGTTTTTCCAGGTTCCTTCCATGTATGCTGATTGTTGTCTGTTATGTTGTTGCTGTTGGTGGTGTTGGCCAGGAATCTTCATCACCACTTCTGTTTTCTCCATGTTCACCTGAAGTCCTATCTTTTCCGGATTCTTGTTCTGCCAACTTGTTGCTTTTCACTTGCATATCTTCCAGTTTGTGGGAAATCAGACATATATCGACTATGTCACCCCCTAATACTCTCTGATAGACTACTACACGTGTTTTCGGTAAATATAAATATGTCTGTTCACAGCGTGAGTGTTGGGCAAAGAGGGAGAATCAATCGACCAAGCTATAAAGTTACATAGATTGAGATGGCTAGGTCACGTGGTGCGCATGCATAACCATCGCCTCCCCCGACGACGGGCATTACTAGCTGATATAGGTGCAGGCTGGTTAAGTGTAAGTGGTGGCCAAACAAAAACATGGCCTCATCAATCCATGAAATCCTTGACAGTTAAACTGAGTCAGCTGGGAGATGCAGACTTTGGGTTTGGGCCCTTGGGACTCTAAGAATCAATGGCTGGAGACAATAGGTGACATGGCTCAAAATCGTTGCCACTGGTGCAGATGTATTCAGTCTCTGTAATCTTTCATATTCCTTTCTACCATTACCCATTCTGTTTCACTCGTATACTTATCAAACTCTATTGATTCTCTTCACTCATCTCTTGTCTACCTTTGTGTGCTATTTGGAACGTGGCAACTCGAACTGCTGCACTTCGGTGCCAAGTTCTATGTTGAATCCAGACAGACAGCCTCTGAATATGATTTCGTCGATAAAGAAAACCATTTAATACTCAAAGATTATTCACTCACTCACTCACTCACTTACCATAGTGTTTATCGTTGTTATATTTCACTTTATAATTAGGCTGACATTTTTTAGTACATTTTGGTGTTTCAGCTATGCCTGGCTTACACTCAGGATATTTTCCTTTAGTATGCATATGTTCACATTTTGGGAATGGGTAAGGTAGACAGCTATTGGTTGATTTATTTGTCCCGCCAGTGACAATACCTTGTGTTAACCAAAAGTCCCATGGTTGTAGATAATAACCACCTTGACAACCATCACCACAAGAAGGACAACATGAAACTATATCAATTGAACTAAGAGTGATATTCATTTTCCCTTTAGATTGAATACATATACGATCACTCATTGTGGCTGCAGAAACAAGGGCCTGAGTAAGCGAGAAAGAAAGAAGAGTAATCGAATGAATGATGCGGTAAAATAATTCCACGCGAAATTATTAATAGCCTACAGCCTTCTTCATTGAATGGATTGATGCTGACGTTCACTGTTTAAGTCAAGCAGTTCAACTGAAGACTTGTAGTTAAAGCATCCAAGGCGTTTGGTACCCTGTCGTTTAATGTTTATTCACTCGTGAACTCTGGATGGCTAGCTAGTTAGCTAGCTAACTGAGCAATCTTCGTCACACTACGATTTTGATATCCCTCGAATATATCTCGTATTTTAATATCAGGCAAAAGTTTGAGCATTGTGGATTAGATCAAATAAAGTACAATTATATTTCAATAGTTTACACACAATGATAAGTTGTTATTATTGGTAATATTTCGAGCAAAATTACTTACTGCCCGACATTGGAACAACGTTTAAACCGACAAATCTAATTAAAAATAAAATAAATCCACTGAAAGATCCCATGAAAATGATGGATAAAAACAATCTGATTTACAAAATATGTTGTGCTGACTATCCGACTAAATATGTAGGGCGAACGTCCAGATCACTCAAAATAAGAGTGAATGAACATAAACGCCTAATCGACTAAAGGTCAACCAACAGGAACACAAGCTTACAAAAATCTTGAAAAAAATTCATCGATAGCTGTACATGCATGGGACAAAAACTACATTATCGATCGGAACAATGTGTGTATTCTAAAAACTAACATGAACAAATGGAAAGAAAGACTCATAACAGAATCGATATTCATTAAAGTCACACCGGATGCATGTAACAAGGGTGACTCAGTACAACTATCAACAACTTGGAATATAATTTTGAATACAGAGGCATGAATGAGCAAAAAAATAATGAACTATATATATGAGTACAAATCATAAATCTGTGAATAAAACAATTCCAACAGTGGTGTGAACACAGGCAGTAAGTAATTTTGCTCGAAATATTACCAATAACAAAACTTATCATTGTGTGTAAACAATTGAAATATAATTATACTTTATGTGATCTCGTATTTGGACGATCAGTTTGGTTTGAAGTAGAGTCCACAGAATTTCGACCTTTAATCGTAGGAACAGGGATCGAAAATGTTTGGCAAGTGAGAAAAAGAGGTGCGGCGTAGAATGTGCGTTTGATGGCTGACCGAAGTCTTTGAGCTGTCAACTGCATAATCTGGTCGCCCTTGAATGATAGGTTAATGAAGATAGCTTTCTTTGGTACAGAAGCTGTCTTTTCAAGACGTGGTCTATCCTTACCGTGACAATTGATGAAGTTTTCTGGATAACCATTAGCTAGTAAAACTGAATGTACATGTCGGAGCTCATCCATCAATGTGTCACTCGTGTATATCTTTCAGGCCCTTGAGAACAAACATTTCACTAGGGAACGTTTATACTGGATAGGAACAGAACTGGTGTCAAAATTATCGGAGGCCTGCCTAAAACTCGGGCTACCGAAAGCCTTCACCAGTACATTCCATATAATTTCTCCAATTCATTTTGTTTAACTGAAGTAAAATATGACCTTGAATCGTATCGTTTAGTTTGGCGAGTTTTCTGAAATGTCCAAAGTCTGCTGATTCCCAAGTTTCTACTAAACATGAGAAAAAGCATTAATCTTGGTGGCACTTTATCCCAATACATGAGATGACCATTCCTGAATGGTGTTCCTCGTTCACACAATGTACTCCTGAACTTCTTATAATTAGCATTCAACAAAATGTCGTTGTATATTCGTTGAAGAAGAAAAAGGGGAGAGATATCATAATCGATCGGTTTGTACATAAAGACCATGAAGAACTGTATCACATGATCAAAACAAAAATCTACCCAAGGCAGTGTGTTTCCAACCTCTTTGAACTGTAGAAGTCCTAACTATATACATCGAAAAGTCGGAGATATGTGTTCAAAAGAAACTAGTTGGAGCTTTACATTTGACATAGATATAATTCGGTTTAACTCCTTAGTTTACGATTTCTTTTTCATTTCAGTTATAAATAGCTATTCATCGCATCCCACCGAATCTTTCCGATGGAATTCGTATTCGTCTGCTGCATATAGCTGCGGTGATGGGCATTAGAATTATCAAGCCTAAACTAGGCAATCATCCGTAAGAAATTCGTATAGGCATTATCCCTCCCTTGTCGGCCTATTTAGACCTAAAACCAACTGATGACGTCTCAACCACCCCTTACTTATATTTCCAACCCCTATGTTATCATCCCTTAATAGTATTATCACGCCTTTTTTATTACAGCTTGATTCCACACCGTATCTTTTGGTACAGGTATGGAATTTTCGGCATGTGATATCGGTAGCCTAAATTTTGCAGGCCGACCATAGATATCAGGTATGCGTCACTGGCAGGAGATCGAACCTCGGACCATGTGCACGGTCGGCGAGAGTCCCAACCGCTGTAGTTGGTTTATAAGGATTAGATTTGTTTTGACGAGTTTGATCACGGATTGATATCAGTTAGAGAACCATTGGAAGCCAGGCTGTGCTGTCAGACAGCTGTTTCCCCGTCCTAGTTTGGGAATCATCGACAGTGCGCACCCACCACTAGGGTTCGAACCCAGGACCTTCCATTTACAAGGCCAGTGAACTCGTAAACCATTCAGCCACGGGGACTCGATTCAGTGGCTCATGATATCTAACTTCAACCAATTCGATGCCTTATAACAAGAAGGTCGTGGGCTCGAACCTCAGTGGGTGCGTACTGCCGATGATTCCCAAACTAGGACAGAGGAAACAGCTGTTGGGCAGTACTGCCTGGTTTTCAATGGTTCTCTAACTAATATCACTCCGTGATCAACTAGCAAGAACATAGTTTATTTACCTGTCTTACAATCCAGCATTACTTGATCGATCCATTTGTTTTTCTTAGCCTTTATCGATTACTATTCTACCTGAAGATTTGTTTGTTTAATCATGCTGTTTTTTTATTATTCTTGTTACCATATAGCACTCCACTTTTTAACCCTTGTAAGTGATATAATCACAACTATTACCATGACTCACTGCACAATTTATATGCACAATCTAATCAATCTGTCGAATAATCATCATAACTGGTATATATTTAATATTTATTTATAAAGTTATGCGTATTAGAACTAAGCCTGGTGAGATCTGTTAAATTTACTTTGAATTTTCGCCTTTGATTGATTAGTGCGAAGTGTTTGGCGTGTGTTGAATTTGTCGGCTCATTGTGTGGATGCTTCAACGTAGTCTGAGGATTTAACGGGGGAAAATCCATATTAACCTAAACAATAACTGTCACCCGTGGCACGATGGGTACCAGGTTCAACCATCAGTGGGAACACCATCACCCACTTGGAAGTGTAGGTTTATGCAACTGACAAGTCCTAAATAAGGACGAAAATTGCCAACACTTGAAGCCGACATGCCAACGAGAAAAACAAGACCGAATTACAAAGAATGAGTGTAACTATTTTAAAAAAAAGGGAACTTACATAGAGTGAATTACATCGTGAACTATCATAAACTGTACCTATACTTGAACAATTTTTCCATTTTTTACGTGCATCAAACTTTTTTGGCAGTTTAACTTTTAAATGTTCATGAGAGACAACTGGCACCTTTTTATTGATTTCATCAGAATCTTTTAATAGTAATGAGGCCAATGCATGACGAGCATCTTCAACAGATTGAAATTGTGAATATTTCTCAGCCTTCCATCCAGCTGATGGCTAGAAACAATCAATGAAATGAAGTGAAATAATTCAATATGTATGTATATTGTTTGTATAGTTTTATAACAAAGTTCACTCGTAATAGTTTGGGAACTCTCGGGTACTGTCTATGTGATATTCGTTAATATAAAAATTTTTGTATTTCTCAATGAATGGGAAATATAACGAGATACTGGTTACAGGATTCCACTATGTGCTGACATCGGTTACAGAACCACTGGAAAACCTGGGACCACTGCAGAGATGTTTCATCCTTGTGTGGGACTCTTCACGGTAAGCACGCACTACCACGGTTCGAATCCAGGACCTTCTGGTTACAACGCTAGCGAGCTTGTAGACCATTAAGCCACTGGGATCTGATCCAGTGTGGCCAGCCCATGAATTCCAGCTTCTGGCAATTCATGACATAGCGTGACCACTAGCCAAAGTCGTCAGTGGCGAGTATTTGTCCTCACGCCCTATCTGCTGTTTTCACTGACGTTTCGCTATTCAGCACAGCTAATATATATATATATATAGCAGTTTCAGCATGAGGTAGTTTTTAAGTTGTTGTCGACTTGGTCAACTGGTAAAGATAATGAAACCAGGTGTAGGTTGTTGGATTTGATAAGCCTACGAAATTATGAAAACAGCATGTGTTTACATAATGAAATTGCTTATGTCTCATTTATGTTGACCACGTCACTTCATAAGTGGGGCGTGGCGTTGGAACCAGGTCAAACGCTGTCTTAGCCCATCACTCCTATTCAGATAATTAGGATTCCATTTGATATGAAGTGCTTCTGATATTAGACGTTCTTTGTGATATCTGAAATTTTTCTGGATGATTTGAATATTGTCAGAATCAATTTTGTGGCCTGGTTCTATAGCGTATAGACAACCTATGGCTAATGCTTCTTCAAGCTTTTCTATTTCAATCAGATTTCTTGGTGGTCGAATAGACATTCTACGGTGTTCATTTCTCCTGATTTTGATTTCTCTTTGACGATATTTGTCCACTGTATACCGCATCACATTCCAAGCAAAAATTTTATTTTATAGACACAATTAGATGAAGAATAATCCCTAGGGATTTGGCCTTTTACATGAAAAAGGTTGCTTTGTGGTGTTTGTCTGATGTTTTGAAGAAAATTCTGATGTCGTGCTTACCAAGTAGTTTTCTGATATTGCCTGACGTCTATGATCTATATGGAATGACAACTGTTGAGGGCCATGTTTTCGAAATACGTTTTTCGATCATATTTCATGTCACTGTTGATTTTGTCGATAAAGTTCCTTGGGTAGTTATTTTGCTTGAGACTCTCAGTAATGTTTGATATTTCTCCTTCTTTTTCTTGCTCATCCGTTATCAGAGAGTGTGCTCGTCTAAGAAGACTTGAAACAAGTGATACTTTTGCACTGATGAGGTGTGATGACTCGACGTCTAAATATTCGTTGGGTTGAGTTTTCTTACTTAATATAGATATATTGCAATATCCATTTTCCCTTCTCTTGACTAGGCAGCCTAGAAAGAGTAGTTCATCGAAGTCTGATTCTGTTTCCGAAGTATGCTGAATTCTGGGGGATAGATTGTTCAGTTTCTTCAAAAATGAGCTGTGTAGGTCTTGTCTTAGTCCGACGAAAGGATCAACAGAGTACCTTAGGCATATTTTAGGTGTGAGTGTGTCTGGAAAAGATGTTATCTTCAAACGTATTCGTGAAAAGATCGGTGACTATTGAAGAAATACGTGAATCCATAGGAACACCATTTATCCATCTATATAAATTCCCTTTAAATGTAAAATAATTACTTTCCAGACAGAATTTTAAGCTTTCAGTTATTTCTCTGGCGTCTAGTAGACATCTTACTGATAGATTTGTGTCTGATTCTATTAAACTGGAAATGATATGAAGAATTTTGGTAATGGGGATACTGGTATATAATGAACGAATATCATAGCTTATCATAATATCGTCTTTAGACAAAGCAATAAGAAGAAGACGTAATTTGTCTGAATCGTGTAATGTTGTATTTTCTCAACACACTTCAAACAATCTGATCACACATGGACTTGTCATAGGAATATATATGAAATTAATAAAGAGGTAAGAGGTGAGAAAACAGACAAGTTAGGTCAAGTTAAAAGGACATATTCAAGGTCAAACTATTAATGAAGACCGCTAAAGTAAATAGCAGAGGTAATAGTACATCTACCCTGGTATCAAAGTGACAAAGTTTACTAAGGAAGGTTAAGAGTGTGATGATGAATTGTTGTCATGATCGCATAAAGATGGTTTAAACTTTCTAATTGCCATCTGGAGCTTCCACAAACTTTAGGATACGCCTCAAACACGTTTTATAGATAGGTTTAAAATATGTGTATAAATCAATTTTATGTCTTGTCTCAGTAATATGTTTCGCAATAGAGGAGCTAGGTCTCCTGTTCTCACCACTGATAAGTCCTGGGTATTCTATTTCATTCTGAAGTCATTTAGGGATTATGCTCTGAAGCCAGCCCTTTTTTGCAGAGATCGATGAGTCCTTCCTATGTACGTGTGTCCACACGTACATTCAAATCAGTAGATACAATAGGATGTGACATCTATATATTCCTATGACACGTTCGTGTGTGCTGGATCAGATTGTTCGAAATGTGTTGCACAAATACACAGTACATGATTCAGACAAATTACGTCTTCTTATTGCTTTGTCTAAATTTATTATTATTATTATTATTGTATCCTTTAGTTCCTAGAGGAACATAGGGCTTCAGCTGCGCACCTCCATTGACTTCGGTTTTCTGACAACTTTTTCACCCTGCTCCAGGTCTGTCCACATGCTTTCATCTCCTCCTCGCATGACCTCCTCCAAGTCACCCTTGACTGACGACCAACTCGCCGCCTCCCTTTCGGGTTCCACTCGAGGGCTTGTCTAGTGATGTCACTTGATGGTTTCCTCAGCGTATGGCCAATCCATCTCCATTTCTTTCTGCCTATTTGTTTCACAATCGGTTCCTGATTGGTTCGCTCCCAGAGATCCCTGTTGCTGATCTTTTCTGGCCATCTGATCTTGAGTATTGAGCGGAGACAGTTGTTAATGAAGGTTTGAAGTTTGTTTGAGATGCTCTTTATGACTCGCCAAGTCTCTGATCCGTATAGTAGCACTGACTTCACATTGGAGTTGAAAATCCGGATCTTATTTTTGATGCTGAGTGCTGTTGACCTCCACACAGATTTGAGAGTAATGAAAGCTTGTCTTGCTTTTCCGATTCTGGCTTTGATGTCCTCGTCAGTTCCGCCTGTAGTTGAGACGATGCTTCCCAGGTAGGTGAAGGAGGTTGTTTCTTTCAGGTTCTTCCCATTTATGCTTATTGTTGTCTGTTGTTGTTGTTGTTGATGTTGGCTAGGAATCTTCATCATCTCTGTTTTATCTATGTTCACGTGAAGTCCTATCTTTGATGCTTCTTCTGCCAACTTGTTACTTTTCACTTGCATATCTTCCAGTTTATGGGAAATCAGACATATATCATCGGCGAAATCCAGATCCTCCAAGTCTTTTGTGTCAGTCCATTTTATGCCTGTTCCCTCGTTGGTTGCCGTTGTCTGTCGCATTATCCAATCAATTGCAATCAGGAAGATCATTGGTGATAGTAGACAGCCTTGCCTCACTCCCGTCCTCACTTCGAAGGCTTCCGTAAGTTTCCCGTTGTGGATTACTTGGCATGCAGCATTGTCGTATAACTGTTGGATGAGGTGTATAATTGTCGATGGGACCCCGTAGTAGCGAAGTAGTTTCCAAATGACCTCTCGATCGACGCTGTCGAAGGCCTTTTCAAAGTCGATGAAGTTGAGATAGAGAGGTGACTGCCATTCCAAGCTTTGTTCAATGATGATCCGTAGAGTGGCGATTTGATCAATACATGATTTGTTTCTCCTGAATCCAGCCTGTTCCGGACGAAGTTTTTCATCTAGGGCTTGTTTGATTCTCTCCAGGATGATGCGACTTAGTATCTTGCTTGGAATGGACAGAAGCATAATTCCACGCCAGTTTTTACATTGACTTAAGTCTCCTTTCTTTGGAAGTTTGAATAAGTATCCGTTCTTCCAATCCTCGGGTACTTTGCCCTCTTTCCACACCTTCTCCAGCAGTGGTGTCATCAAGTCCGCTGTTGTCTCTGGGTCTATTTTCAAAGCCTCTGCTGGGATTCCATCTGGTCCCGGTGTTTTCCCAGCTTTAAGCATCTTGATTGCATTCAGGACTTCTGATTTCGTCGGGGGGTCAGTGTTCACTGGTAGTTCTGCTTCCGTTGTTGGTATTGCTGGACGCGTTGTAGGTGGCGGACGATTTAGAAGTCTTTTGAAGTGTTCAACCCAGTGCTTTCTCTGTTCCACCTCTTTGGTGATTGACTTTCCATTGTCGTCCTTTATTGGCTTAATCTGTGTCGAACGTTTGCCCGAAAGGTTCCTAGTTGTTTGGTAGAGTGTGGCGAGGTCTCCTTTGCCTGCAGCTTGTTCTGCTTCGTTTGCCATGGTTTCATAATATTTTCTTTTGTCTTCCCTGGCACTCTTCTTCACTCTTTTGTTCAGTGTATTGTAGCTTGCATTCAGCTCCTGTTTTTGTTGCTCGTCAGTGCACTGGATAATCTTTTGCTTCACTGTCCTTCTCTCTTCTATTAGTTTCCAAGTGTCCGTAGTGAGCCACTGTTTGTCCTGTCTCTTTTTTCTGCCTAGAATTTCTATGCAGGTTTGGCTCCACACCGTTTTCAAGTTGTTCCAGTGCTTTTCGACGCTGACCCTTTCGCTGGTGTTGATTTGTATCTCAGCTTTGTCCTTTATGCTTGCAATGAAGATGTCCTTTGTAGCCTGGTCCTTCAGCTTTTGAGTGTTGAACTTGGCTTGTGGTCTATCTGCAGCTCCTGATTCCCTGAAAGCTTTTAATTTGATTTGGATTGTCCCTTGTACGAGATAGTGGTCTGAGCCAACGTCTGCTCCTCTTCTTGCTTTTGTGTCCAGTAGGCTGCGCCTCCACTTCCTTGAGATTGAGATGAAGTCGATTTGGTTTTTGGTTTGCCCGTCTGGTGACACCCATGTAGCCTTGTGGATATCTTTGTGCTTGTATACACTGCCACCAATCACCAGTTCGTTGAAGGCGCAGAAGTCGGCGAAGAGTTCTCCGTTTTCATTCATTTCTCCTAGAGCTTCTCTACCCATGATGAGTTCCCTTCCTGTATTGTCTGGTCCCAGTTTGGCGTTCATGTCTCCCATTAGTATTTTCATGTCGCCAGCTGGAGTATTGTCCATTGTTGCCTGTAGTTGCCTGTAGAATTCTTCTTTTTTCTCGAGGTCTGCGTTGTTTGTGGGTGCATAACATTGTATGATTGACACTTTCCTTCCTTTGGAGTTGAACCTGGCGGTCATTATCCTGGACGAAATCGCCTCCCATTGTATCAGGGCTTTCGTTGCCGTTGGTGACATCATGATAGCCACGCCCTCGGTGTGTGTGTGGGTTATCTTCTGGGTGACCGGAGTAGATCACTGACTCACCTGTTGACAATTTGGTGAGTCCACTCCCATTCCATCTGCTCTCACATATTCCCAGCACTTGTATTCCGTATCTTTTCATCTCGTTGGCGATCTGGGCAGCTTTCCCAGTCTCGTACATAGTTCGGACGTTCCATGTTCCTACACAGACTTTTTCTTTTGGTGCAAGAGGTTCATTATGCTGAAGTTCTGTAGCAACTTTGTTTACAGGGTGGGGTTGCTAGCCTCACGCCTGAGAAAAGAATGATTACATTAAGTAAAAGTTTAGAGAGAAGCAACTTTTTGGGTTGCTCCCCTCAAAATCAGAAAATAACGGACAAACAATGAGAACAACATCAACAAAGGAAACAGTTCACAGAAAAAAGGGCAAAAAGCGACGACAACTATACAATAAGACAACATGCAATATAGTTCAGTACAGTTAACTAAAATGATATCTTAACCATAAACTCACTGACTTGGAGCAACTTGAACATATAAATCCAACAATATATACAATTTTTAAACAGAACTAATTGTTTTAAATATCTTCTCCATCAATTAACTTGTGTCTTACTAGATTGTGGAACGTCAGCAAAAACACTATCGTTTTGTTTTCCATTCATTGGAAAATACAAAAACTTTAGTTGATAATACTTCGCAGTGGAATCAAGGATGTTTATTCCTGAAACTATGAGTATTGTGATTTCTAGTCTTAGTGAAGGGAATATCATCACTCATACGGGATTCAGACCCTAGTGAGCTGATGAGTTCCACATGGGATAACTTCCGCCTATCCTAAATTCTACTGCTAATCAACATCTAATAAATCCTGATTGATTGAATAACAACATAGAACACAGCACAGAAGTGCAGCTGTTCAAGTTGCCACACGCCATGCAGTACACAAAGATAGAGAAATTAGAGAAGAAAAGAAGAGGGTCATAGTTACAAAAATAAGTAGAAATGTGAAGGAGAAACGATAGTGACATGGCAAAAATAATGGAAGTTTGATAGATATAGAAGCCACACACCAGCATTGTCAAGCCATTGGTTATTGGCATACCGAGGACTCTAACTAGCCAGTTCAAACCTCTATAAGTGGATTAAACCAACTATCAAAATCTTCATCGAGTGATGCCAAGTAATTGTTTTGACCGCCCCTAACTCTTTTCCAACCTAATCCAATATCGGCTTACATTGCTTGATGAGAAACGCAGTGGGTCAGCATGCACAACACATGTCCTAGTCATTTAAATCGATGTAGCTCTACAATTTTATCGATTGATTTAGCCTTCTCATCAAACACGCTACACCTAACCGTAATAATACTCACCAATTTATATTTTTCATTTTTTATTTCCTTCACGTTCCCAGTGGAACATATGGCTTGAAGCTAGAGGCTTGAAGTTTCTGTAGAAGTGGAGTTTATTCTTTCAGGATGGGGCTTGCTAACCGCATGCCCAACCTTCCCTCCTTACCGGTCTTATTACTGGATAAGTGAGGTGAAGGAGCGCGTCAGTGGCCGGTGATCGAACCCTGGACCACGTGCATGTTCGGCGAACTGTGCCACCGAACACCACCTAACGTTTATTGTCATTCACAACTAACATTTCCGCATCTTTCATTTTCAACGTCCATATCTCTAAGTCAAAAAGGGGGACAGGGTTATCTGGTCCATCAGTGGTCGACACGGTCCACCACCTCATTCTTGAATATCTTTAAGCTAGAAACCGATGCAGACAAACCGCACAGCATCACCTTACATTTCACAAGAGTAAATCACAAACTTAGCTCTTGAAAATGTCTGTTCAAGGTGTTCAGATGACTTTGCATTTTCTTTAAGTGTTTCCATCTAGGAGGAAAGTATCACCTTCATACTTTAAGTTAACAAAACCGTCTGTTCCTCGGTAACGTATAATAATCCACGAGTCACTTAGGTTAAAAGTCAGTCTGAACGAAGAATATTCTTTTCAATAATTTCTCCTCTTCAGGTTCTTACAATTATAAAATATGCAATATTTGTGGTCGTTACTTACAATGAAGGCCAGTTATGCGGCGGATACATTATTTAACGTAGAATAACAGATTAGTAGTTATTGCGTGTCGAAATAAATAGTCGTATTTGTGTGACAAACGCCGTGCTAGTTGGCTGAAATCGATTACAAAATATTTCTGTGAAATGGGAGACAGTGGTGGTGAATGATCATAATTGAATTGTAGAGTGTGGGATAGGAAAACTGACAAATCAGTTCAAGGTTATAGAAGGTGTCAGGTGAGTGAATATGCTAGTACAAAGTGGTCTGTCTTAAACAGGAGATAGTCAGACTGTAATGGGAGGTTCATAATGAAACAACGAATGTGTTAAATGAAACAGAAAAGAATATTCTTCGTTCAGACTGACTTTTAATTCATGGGATATGGGAATATTTCAAACTATCACTAAGGTTAGTTAGTGTCATTGCCTGTCAGTAAATCTATGGCAAAATGAATCAAAAATGCGGACAGTTGATTTGTCAACTAAATAACATTAATGTTGACTTTTGAGGTATCGTTGATACGTCCGTCAACATGTCAACAGTGAATAAACGATTCAGTCCTACAAATATCAATCACTGAATAGTACAGAATGACTTCAACACGAAAGGCGTATGTGTATATTGTTTGATGAAAACAAGACAGGTAATACTATGTGACTAAGGGACAGGAGCACAATGAAGTATATTCAGCTATCAGATTCACATGTGAAGAGCAAACTCAAAGTAAAACTACCTACCTACCTACCTACCTACTGCTGACTATATGACCAGACGGTAGTAAAAAACGTTATTCGCATAAGAAAAGTACTTGGGCCAGCCAGTATACACACTTTCACATCTGTCTTCCACTCTAGTATAAAAGAAATTTGGTAAACACCCTCAGCTATAGGGTCAGAGCTATTTATCCGGAAGATGAGGCTGGAGACGAACTTATGGTCGTTTACGACATGTTCAGTGAAAACAACCACCCTGAAAATTCATCACCAGGCACGTGGCCAACAAAGTAGAAGTGAATTCTTCCGTATCTGTTAACAAGAAGCCACTATATATACATATGACTACAATTCAAACGGGATATATACCAAGTGAAATAATAACCAGCAAGCTGATAAAATCGATCCACAACGGGTTGTCATTTCGCAAGTGAAAAACGAAGTAGCTTGGGTAACCACCTCTTATTGTAACTATCAATTCGACTGTTCCTGTGGAGCCAATTATATTGACCACTGCTCTAGGAATCTAATTTTTCGTTCTAGAGATCATCTACTAGTATGTCTAAATAAAGGTATTCTTAAAACCATGAACACTTCTGAATAAGATCACCTCGTCCAAACAGACCACAAAGCTAGACAGCATCGTAGAGTCTTTCTCTATCCTCTATTGGGTATCAATTAAGTCATCAAAGACCTCTAGCTACTGAACATTACAAACAGCAGAGGCTATTTCCATTCGCTTAAATCAGCCAGAGTTCTGCATGCAAAAGAAGCAGGTCCAACCCAGGAATTATTATTGCTACAATGACCTGCTGTGGAGCTTATGAAATCATAAATTCTTTGTTATTTATCCTGATTTATCGTATATTCATTTTAGTGTTATAATTAATGTTGATTGTCTGTCTCTTGTTGATGCTCATGAACTGTTATCTAATGATATTATCGATTTACTGTGACTGACAATAATTCTCTTACATTTGAATCAAATCATTCTCCTACAGAAATTCCTTACAAGTCTCTGAATTTGAGTAGAGTTTCTCCGAATAATGCAGATGTAGCGTATAAATGGTGCGTCGGTGGCACCAGGTGGGTTAGCAGGCTCGCTAACCGTGCACATGGTCCGAAGTTCGATCCTCAGCCACTGGGTGCACTCCTTTACTTCGCTAAGCTAGAAATAATGCTGGTAAAGAGGAAAGGTTGGGCCAGGTGAGGCTGGCTAGCAACCTCATCCTGTAAAAAATAAACACCACTGCTGCAGAAAATTTAAGCCACTAGCTTGAAGCTGCCCTATGTTCCACACTGGGGAACGTGAAGGAAAAAAAACACACGTATAAACGATAAACTTAATAAAATCAAGCAGCAGAAGAATAAGAAGACTTACATGATGATTAATGTATTCGGTTATTTCATCTAAAGTTAAGTGGTTATTTTCAGTCGGCAGTAAGTGGACAATTGAAGCTTCAATTAATAAAAGTGATAGAATGCGTAGCAGAATCATGATTGAGGCGAAGATCACTCAAATAACTGAATAGCAAGCAAGTATATATGATATGTATCAACGAGGGGTATATTAAAAAAACAACTATTCTAGGTTGACTTTTGTTCATCTATTACATTTCTCAACTTTTTTACACCATATTACTATTGCAAAATAAAAACATTTTATGCTCGAAATGAAACCTTTGGACTGATGAATTATGAGGAGTTTAGGAGTAGGTGATACTAAAGTATTCCTTTAATTTTTAATCGGCTACTATAACCTTTAGCTTTAAAAAAGTATTAACGATAAGATGATCAGCTATAACGATGAATTGATGAGTTTTATGTATGCATACATTATTTATCTGAATGCACTTAAAGCGATTTATGGTATCATTCGATAAAAAAAACTAATTATCAAATGACAATTAAAATCTATGAGAAAATCATAAGTTTATTTTTTATTGTTTTTTTAACAAAACTGTGAAAAATCCCTACAAAACCAATACTTGAAAATTAATCTGATGCTCACTAGTGACTGGCCCTATTCAGGCAGTTAACCTGGGGTTCTGGTGGGAAGCCGTGACCAGTAGGCTACAGCAGGTTGAAGATGAGGCGGTAACTCATCGAAGAAGACATTGCGAAGTGGTCGCGCTATGTCGTGAACTGGCAGAAGTTAGAATTCAAGGACCATTGGATCGGGTCCCAGTGACTCAATGGTCTACGAGCTCGCCTTGTAACCAGGAGGTCCTGGGTTTGAAACCCGGTGGGTGAGTACTGCTGAAGAGTCACAAACACTAGGACGAAACGGCTGTCCAGTACTCCTGGGGTTTCCAGAGGTTCTCTAACTGATGTCAGCTCATGATTAAATCCTCCATGCAATCAAACAAAATCCCTACAAAACGAATACTTGAAAAAATTATAAGATTGTATGCTGGAAGATGTAATACCTTAATCATTATTATTATTATTATTTAATATTACGGAATATACACATTGGGTCATAGGAGTTATTAAGAAGACAATTGCAGCGAAGAAAATTTTCTTTTTCAACGAAGTCATCAACTAGGTGGCTGTACATTCGTGTATTTATATCGAATGGATGGGAAAGTTCCAGGATAATTTCCGCCTAAGGGTCATATTAGTATAAATTACAATTAGGAATTAGAATGCCATAATAAACAGGGGATGGATAAAACCCAGACAAAGTAGCATCATCATTACTTAGAAGATTGACATTGTGCAATTAGGGTTAGAAATGTAGAAATAACAAAATAGACAGGATGTTTAGATAAAAAACTAATGTGATAAGTAATTGTTTATGTAATCAGGGATTAAATATGTAGAAATAGTAAAATGACAAAATAAACACAGGGATGAAGAAAAACTTTAAAAAACAACATGAATAAACAGGAAGTTTAGATAAGAAAGTCGATGGGATGATTATTACAAAAAATTACCTGTTTATGATGGCCATATCAGGGACAGGGGTTGGACGTATTTCTTTTGGATACATAGTGTGGGTTTGAGCTTTTGGATAGCTAGCGCCTCGGCTATGCCAAGATGTCTTGATTTCACTCCCTTTGATAGGTTTGATTGAATCTTGTATATTACTTTGGAGGAATTTTCGAAAGGCACTGAATGTCCTGAATTGACTAGATATTCTGTCACTGAACTGTATACACGCTTTTGGTTTCCTTTTACTAACCAGGCTGAATAGTGCTCACTACCGCATTTTCCAAGTCGGCTCATGGTACAGCCAATAAACTCAGCTGCACAAGAGCAAGAAAACTGGTATGTGCACGCTGAGGTGGATCAATGCGACAGCTTGTCTTTCGCCTTCTGGCTGAACAGTTTCTTGCAGGAAAACGTCAGTCGTAGTATCGCGGCGAGGTATGTTTTCCTCAGCGATTTGGAGAGGCGATTACGAAGGATTTATTATTATTATTTCCTTTAATTCCTAGAGGAATATAGGGCTTCAGTCGCGTGTCTCCATTGCGTTCGGTTCTCCACTCCACGTCTGCCCAAATGCTTTCATCTTCTCTTCACATCATCTACTCCATGTCACCCTCAAACTGACGACGATTCTCATTCAGCTTCCACTCCGGGGCTTGTTTAATGGTGTCACTTGGCGGTTTCCTCAGAGTATGGCCAATCTACCTCCATTTCTTCCTGCCTACTTGTTTCACAATCGATTTCTTGTTGGTTTGCTCCCAGAGATCCCTATTGCTGATCTTTTCTGGCCAGCAATCTAATCTTGAGTAGTATTGAGTGAAGACAGCTGTTGATGAAAGTCTGTAGTTTGTCTGAGGTGCTCTTTATGATGCGCCAAGTCTCTGATCCATCCGTATAGTAGCACTGACTTATTTTCATTTTCATGACGAATGCTGTTGATCTATCTCCACACGGACTTGAGATTAGTGAAAACTTGTCTTTCTTTCCCGATCCTTGCTTTGATATCCTCGTCAGTTCCGTCTGCCTTTACTTGAAACTATACTTCCCAGGTAGGTGGGTAGGTAAGGGAGTTTGATTCTTTCAGACTCCTCCCATTTATACTGATTGTTGTCTGTTGTAGTTGTTGTTGGCCAGGAATCTTTATCACCTGTGTTTTCTCTATGTTCACCTGAAGTTTTATCTTCTCCAGATGCTTGTTCTACCAACTTGTTGCTTTTCACTTGTGTATCTTCCAGTTTGTGGGAAATCAGACATATATATCACATCGGCGAAGTCGAGATCCTCCAATATCTTAACCTAAAGAACAATTCATTCTTTAAACATGAATAACAAAAAACACGTAGTTCAGCGAAAAGGTCTCTTTTCGGCAGCGAATTCATTCACATAGCCTGACAATCGAGATTATTATATAATTATTTTTGTACATATATCTACATTAGGTTTGTCCGATAGGAATAAAAATTAGTTAGGTTTGTTGTTGTTGACGTCATCAAAGTGGATGTGATGAATAATCAGATTATACCTGGGAGAGGGCTTAAGGGGAGCAACTCACAAGGTCGCATCTCCGTAAACTATATTTTAATGTAACAATCCCCTTCTCAGGCGTGAGGCTAGCAACTCCACCCTGTAAACAAAGCTGCTACAGAAACTTCAGCACGATGAATCTCCTTGCGCCTAAAGAAAACGTCTGTGTGGGGACATGGAATGTCTGCACCATGTACGAGATCGGCAAAGCTGCCCAGATCGCAAACGAGATGAAAAGATCCGGAATCCAAGTACTGGAGATATGTGAAAGCAGATGGAACGGGAATGGACTCACCAAATTGTCAATGGGTGAGTCAGTGATCTACTCCGGTCATCCAGAAGATAACCACACACACACACACACACACACACACCGAGGGCGTGGCTATCATGATGTCACCAACGGCAACAAAGGCCCTGATGCAATGGGAGGAGATCTCATCCAGGATAATGACCGCCAGATTCAACTCCAAAGGAAGGAAAGTGTCAATTATACAATGTTATGCACCCACAAACACCGCAGACCTCGAAAACAAAGAAGAATTCAACAAACAACTAAAGGCAACAATGGACAATACTCCAGAACTATCCTAATGGTAGGTATGAACGCCAAACTGGGGCCAGACAACATAGGAAGTGAACTTATCATGGTTAGAGAAGCTGTCGGAGAAATGAATGAAAATGAAGGACTCTTCGCCGACTTCTACACCTTCAATGAACTAGTGATTGGTGGCAGCGTATACAAACACAAAGATATCCACAAGGCTACATGGGTGTCACCAGATGGGCGAGCCAAAAAACAAATTGACTTCATCTCAATCTCAAGGAAGTGGAGGCGCATCCTAATTGACACAAAAGTAAGAGCAGGAGCAGACGTCGGCAGACTTGCAGCCAGATGAAAACTATAGCAGAGATCCGAACGCAATGGAGACGTGCGGCTGAAGCCCAATGTTCCTCTAGGAACTAAAGGAAATAATAACAATAATCATACCTGGGAGATGTGGGGGGAGGTGGAGATTAGTAAGAAGAGAATCTCAGCATTTTTGAGAATATTCTTCACATCAAGGCTAAGAGTAGTGGTCTACAGTCGGCCACTGTTATGTATGCATAAGGTGAGTTAAATAGGTGCGTTACAGTTAGGCTATAAGATGAATAAATTCGTGATTGAGTTGTAATCGGGATGCATATGGAAACGAAGGAGTATATGGAATTATGCAAGAGTTTCAAAAAAAATGCATTTGTTAATCAAGCTTGTCTGTTATGACAAATTATATTGCTAATTTTGATGAACAGGATTATGCGACACACACTGTAAGTGTGGAGCGAGAAAACTTGAAAACCTTGGAATGAAATGAACTCTTTTATAAGATGTGAACTTGGTGAATGATTAATTATGTCTTATGTCACACGAACTTGGAAAATTACAGCTGAAATCCGACAAACTGGCAGCAGAAGGAGTCAGTAAAGCGAGGACTTCAAGTGAACACAGAGAAGACGGAGGTGATGGGAATAACAAGCCAACAGCATCAAGCGCCAATAACTTCCAACGGGGGATAAATTTGAAAGAGGTCACTTCCCTAACCTAACTGGAAGCATCCTCTAAACACAAGCGGAACGCACGAAGATGTCGAAACCCCAATCACTACTTTGAAATTACTTTGAACATGTACTACGCTCGTGATTTAGAATAAAAGTCATTTATACAATGATTCCCTTTTATAAATTTAAACAAAGAAAGAAGAAACATTGGCGCAGAATAATCCGGATCCATTTTGTTTCGTTGGTTCGCATCATCTGCGTACAACCTTTGTCCATTAGGAAGCATACCGTCAGAGCGTCAAAGTAAAATAAGGCGTTGAGATACAAACGAACGCTGGTGAAAACGCTTTTCTCTAGAGCGAAGAGAATATGTTCACCACACCAAACAAACTAGACAGTGAACTAATGCTCTTTGAAAAAAACTTGAAAGGAATTGGTTACCCACAAAGTTTTATTAATCAATATGGTAAGAATGAACTCAAGCAGCTTGATACAGCAACA